CCGCTGGCACCGTAACGGTTGGCACCTCAGTTTCTCGGGGGACACGCCAGGGAAGAGACCAGATGTGAACACTATCACTACTACGACTACTACTACTACTACTACTACTACTACTATTACTACTACTACTACTACTACTACTACTACTACTACTGCTCCTACGACTACGACTACTACTACTACTACTACTACCACTACTACTACTACTACTACTACTACTACTACTACTACTACTACCCCTACTACTACTACTACTACCACCACTACTACTATCATTACTACTACGACTACTACTACTACTACTACGACTACGACTACTACTACTACTACTACTGCCGCTACTACTACAACCACTACTACTACCACTACTACTACTACTACTACTACTACTACTACTACTACTACTACTACTACTACTACTACTACTACTACTACTACTACTACTACTACTACTACTACTACTACTACTACTACTACTACTACTTACTACTACTAGTACTACTATTACTACTACTACTACTACTACTACTACTACTACTACGACTACCACTACTACTACTACTACTACTACTACTACTACTACTACTACTACTACTGCTAGTACTACGATTGCTACTACTACGACTAGTACTACTGTTACTACTGCCGCTACTACTACTACTACCACTATGACTACTATTACGACAGCTACTACTACTGTTACTTCTCGCCGTAGTCGCAGTCGGAGTAGTAGTAGTAGTAGTAGTAGTAGTAGCAGTAGCAGTAGCAGTAGCAGTAGCAGTAGCAGTAGCAGTAGTAGTAGTGGTAGTAGTAGTAGTGGTAGTAGTAGTGGTGCTAGTAGAAGTTGAAGTCGTACTAGTAGCAGTAGTAGTAGTGACAATAGTAACCGTAGTAGTAGTAGGAGTAGTAGGAGTAGTAGTAGTAACAGTAGAAGTAGCAGTCGTAGTTGTAGTAGTAGTAGTAGTAGTAGTAGTAGTAGTAGAAGTAGTAGTAGTAGTAGTAGTAGTGGTTGTTGTTGTAGTTGTAGCAGTAGTAGTACTAGAAGTAATAGTAGTAGTAGCAGTAGTCGTCGTAGTAGTCGCAGTAGGCGTCGCCGCCGTCGTCGTAATAGTATTAGTACGAGTAGTAGGAGTAGCACGAGAAGCACGAGTAGTAGGAGTAGTCGTCGTGGGAGGGGTAATCATAGCAGTAGTAGTAGTAGCCTTCGTAGTAGTAGTAGTAGTAGTAGTAGTAGTAGTAGTAGTATGAGTAAGAGTAGTACGCGTAGTCGTAGTAGGAGTAGTAGTAGTAGTAGTCGTAGTAGTAGTAGTAGTAGTAGTAGTAGTAGTAGTAGAAGTAGTAGTAGTAGTAGTAGTAGTAGTGGTAATGCCAGTTATAGTGGGAAAACATTAGCAATAGCAGTACTAGCAGTAGGTGTAATAACAGTCGTAGAGTCTCTCTGAATCTTCCCAACTGTTCAAACATAGTTCAGAATCTTCCAGAATGTTCCAGAATCTTTCAGATTGCCACAGGTTCTTTCAGAATTTGTCAAAATCTGTTGGGGTATTTCAGAATCCCTCGGCATCTCTCAGAATCTCTCACTCAGACTCTTCCAGACTCGCCCAAAATCTTTCAGAATCCCTTAGAATCTTCCAGCATCATTCAGGATCTTTTACGACCTCCCAGACTCTTTCAGAATCTCTCAGAATCTCTGATGACTTTTCATAATCTCTCAGGGTCGTTCAGAATCGTTCGGGATCTTTCGGGATCTTTCAGAATCTGTCAGACTATCTTCCAGAATCTCTGAGAATCTTTCAGAATAGTTCAGCATCTTTTGCAATCTCTTAGGATTTCTCCGAATTTTCAGAGCCTCTCATGATCTCTCAGAGTCTCTCAGCATCTGTCAGAACAACCCCGAATCCTTCAAAGTCTTTCAGCATATTTCAGAATTTCTCAGAATCTCATAATCTTTAAGGATCCTTCCGATTCTTTCAGAATCTTTCAGAATCTTCCAGGATCTTTCAGAATGTTTCTGAATCTCCAAAAATCTCTGAGAACCTTGCAGAATCCCCCAGAATGTATGAGGATCTTTTTAGAATCTCCCGTAATCTTTCCGAATCTTTCAGAACCTTTCAGGATCTTTCAGAATCTGTCATAATCTCTTGGAGCCTCTCACAGTCTTTCAGTATCGTTCAGAACCGTTCATAATCTTTCAGGATATTTCAGAATCCCTCAGAACCTATCAGCATCTTTCAAAGTATTTCAGAACCCCTCAGAATCTCTCAGAATCTTTCAGGACCCTTCAGAATCTTTCAGACTCGTTCAGAGTCTTTCAGCACCTGTCAGAACCCATCAGACTCTCATAGAATCAATGAAATCTTTTTGAATCTCGCAGAATCTTTCCGGATCCTTCAGAATTTTCGGAATCCTTCATAATCTTACAGAACCTCTCAGAACCTTTCAGAATCTTTCAGAATCGCTTGGGATCTTCCAGAATCTCTCAGACAGAATCTTTCAAAACCTTTCAGAATCTCAGAATCTTCCAGAGTCTTTCAGAATCTGTCAGAAGCTTCCGGGATCTTTTGGGATGTTTCCGGATCTTTCATAATCTCTCAGAATCTTTCAGAATCTCTCAGAAGTGTTCCGAATGTTTCAGAATCTTCCGGATCTTTCATACTCTCTCAGAGTATATCAGACCCTTTCAGAAGGTATCAGGATATTCCAGAACGTTTCAGACTCTCAGAATATGTCAGAACCTTTCGGGGTCTTTCCGAATCCCTCAGAACCTCTGACTCAGAATCTTTCCGAATAATTCACAATCGCTCAGAATCTCACAGAATCTCTCAGCATGTTTCACGATTTTTTACGACCTCCCAGAATCTACCAGAATCTCTCAACATTTTTGATACTCTCTCAGCATCTCCCAGAATCTCTCATATTCTTTCATAATCTTCCAGGATCTTTCAGACGATCTCAGAATCTTTCAGATTCCTTCAGAATCTCTCAGGATCATTCAGCATCTTTTACAATCCTTCCGAATATTTTATATGTTTTCAGAGCCTTTCAGAATCTCCCAGACTTTTTTTTTGAATATTTCAGCATCCTCCCGAAGCCCTCAGAATCCCAGCATATTTTAGCATCATTCAGGATATCAGAATATTTAAACGTCTGTCCGATTCTTTCAGAATCTCTCAGAATGTCTAAGAAGCTTTCAGAATGTTTCAGAACCGCCCAAACTCTTTCACAATCGTGCAGAGTCCCAGAATGTATGAGGATCTTTTTAGAACCACTCAGAATCTCTAAGAATCTTTCGGGACCTTTCAGGATCTTTCAGAATCCATCATATTTTGCTCGGGTCTCTCATCACCTCTCAGTATCTTTCAGGATCTTTCAGAAACTCTCCGGATCTTTCAGAACCCATCAGAATCTATCAGCATATGTCAGAGTCTTTTGTTTCTCACAGAATCCCTCAGAATCTCTCAGGGTCTTTAAGCATCTTCAGAATCGTTCTGAGTATTTCAGAACTTTTTTCAGATCTCTTAGGATCTCCGAGTATCTTTCATAATCCCTCAGAATCTCTCAGAATCGTTCATAAACGTCAAGAATATGTCAGAAGTTTATGCATATTTCAGTATCTTTCAGAACCTATCAGAATCTCATAATCTCTCAGAATCGCTCAGAACCTTTCAGAAGTTTTCAGAATTTGTTCAGAATGGTTCCGGATCCTTCATAATCTGTCAGGATATTTCAAAATATGTTTGATAATCTTCTCGGATCCTTCAGAATCTTTCAGAATATGTCAAAATCTGTTGGGGTCTTTCAGAATCTCCCAGAATCCGTCAGAAGCTTTCAGAGTCTTTCAGAGTCGTGCAGAACTGTTTCGGAATCTCTTTGGATCTTTCAGAACCCGAAGGATCTTTCAGAATCTCTCAGAATCCCCAAGAATCTTTCCGAATCTCGCAGAATCCCCCAGAATCTTTCAGAATCTTTCAGGATCTATCAGGATCTCTCAGAATCTTTCAGACTCTTCCGGGGTCTCTCATAATCTCTCAGAGTCTCTTAGAACCCTGCAGAATCTGTCAGAATCTTTCAGAATCTTTCCTGTATCTCTCCGAATCTCTCGGTGACGGTGGTTCCCGTGGTGCCCGCCCGCTGTCGCTTCGTGAGCGATTTCTGCGCCGGGTGGGTGTGCCGAGGTTTCGCCTGGTGCCCGCCCGCGGCCGCCTCGTGGACGCCTCCTGCGCCGGGTGGGTGTGCCGAGGTTTCGCCTGGTGCCCGCCCGTGGCCGCCTCTTGGACGCCTCGCTCGCTGGCTGGGTGTGGCGAGGTTCCACGAAGTGTGTGCGCTTACCGCAGAGCTTGCACCACGTGGCTTGCACCCAGGCAGCTTACACCACGTAGCTTGCACCGCACAGTACACACCACATAGATTACACCACGTAGCGTTGATCGCGCTCTTGTCATCGCACGGCGTCGGCCGCCCAGCTTACACCCCACAGCTTGCACCGCCTAGCTTACGCCGCATAGCTTACACCACATAGCTTGCACGACATAGCTTGCACCAGCTATCTTTCACATCATTGCACGGCGAATAGGAATGCGCGCTGTTTCCGTTGTTCGGCAGCGCGGTGTTCAAACACCGAGCTGTTCACCACGTTAGCCGCGAATTTCCAACGTTTTATTGCCGATGCCCTGATGTTTCCGACGATCGTTGCGTTTGGAATGCCATGCTTCTGACTATTAGGTCGACCCTGCAGAGTCAGTGTGTCCTTGTGGCCTGTCTATTGTCTATTGTGGTTCATGTCATCGAGTTGCCATCGGAAGAGATTTGTGTCCTCTCGGGTGACTTCTGTAATCAGCCCTGTCTGAATCATGTATTTTTGCGGCCAGTGGGCGTAGCACAGGTTTGCACGGAAAGCAGTTTCAGTAGTATACGAAGTTTGGTTTTGCATTGCCCTGCCAGGGGCTAGGTCATCCGTTCTGCGATGATTTGTTAATGCAGTAATTTTGCAGCGCTCGCAGGCTACCTCAGCCCTGGACACGTCTACGTCTGCGGCGGTTTCGAAGGAGCTGGGGGCAATGCTGGTGAATCGCGCTCCATATCCCAGAGCCTGCCACTTTACCGCACAGGTTTTCGTTTCACGTTTACTCTCTGTTCTGCATCAGGGGAATGTGTGGTTGTGCGATTCATTCGTCACGAATGCCTGCGTATTCGCCTGCACGAGCGCACATCTGTGAAGTGCACACGTTCATGTGAGCGCATTACTACGCTTCATCCTTTCACCCCCCTCTTCTCCTGCTTCTCTTCGGGCCTCTTCTTGTTCCTCGGCTGTAGGGATCGATCCTTGCTGTATTGGTGGAGGGAGGGCCTGACGAAGAGGTGTCGGCTTTGATGGGCGAGTCAAGGGAAAAGGTAAACATTGGAGGAGCAGGAATATGACTAGGTGAAAGAGGAGGAGGAAGAGCTGTGGGGTTAGATGAGTGGCCCAGGAAAGACGGAACGTCGCTTGATGACCGCGTCCGTGTGTTTGCCTTTGGAGCTTGGGACACGATGCAATTGTTGGGATGCCCGGACGCCTCACGCTCGGTACTGTTCGAATGAGAGATCCCAGCAAATGTGGTGCCGAGAGAAGGGCAATGAAACAGGGTTTGTTGGAGGCCCACGCTTAGGCAGAGAACCGCAAGAGGACAACATTGCGGCGCTGGAGAATGTTTCGTTTCCAGCGCAGTGGGATGTTCGCGCGCCGAGCGCACAACCCTCTATTTCCGGGGCGCGGCAGAGTTTCATGGGAGTGGCGGTGGGCCGGTGGGATGGTCTTGAAAGTTTCCGATCAGCTCTGCGGCGCCTCTTCACTACCACACGCTGATCCCAGTGCAGGGCACACTCGCTGTGTGTACGTTTGTGCGACGCTGTATCGACGCGCTGCCTCGTGTTCTGTTGAAAGTTCTAGGGAGATGTCTGGCGTCCATCTGGATCCCAGGCCTCCTCCGCTTCTCCGTCCTGCGTCGTCGTGCCATTCGCGCACTCCTCCCCCTCCTCCTCCTCCTCCTCCTCCTCCTCCTCCTCCTGAACCTTGAGGCATCCTCATCATCTTGCGCTCTGGGTCGTGGCATATGCCTTGATGTCGCGTTGCGGTGCAGTGACCCTCCTCCCGCTTCCGAACCCAGAGATCCGACGTCGTAACACAGTTACGACGTCGTGACAATCACGACCAGAACCTTGGGCCCCATCTTAGCGAGTGATCTCTTCAGCCAGATCGTTCCGTGAGGGTCCTGGGGCCCGAAATGGGACAACACACCGGTCGTAGTTTTGTTCACGATGTTTGGATCTGATGGCCTTCCCCCTCCTCCTGCGGTGGTAGGGGATTCCGACTCACGAGGACCACATCGGGTAGCGCGGACAAAAATCATCTTCTTCGTGCCTCCTCCTCCCACCCCTCACAATGAACCCCTTGTGCTCTCCCGCCTCTGCTCCTCATCCCTCCTGCACCTCCTCTCTGAGGGGGAGTCATATAAGGAACATGTATTTGATGCCGTTGCTCGTCATGGAGAGTCCTCGTCACCACGGCTGGATTCTCCTCGAAAGCATGGTCAGAGCGCACCCATGGAGAGGTTCGAGGAGTAGCTGTATCGGTACATTCTTGTTCCCCCAGGGATGGGAAGGAGGTCCTGGGAGGTCCCAGGGGATCCTGAGGCTTGTCCCACGGGGGACGTCGACGACACCGCGGCTGGATGTCGACAGCGGCTAGACGCCGACGTCCTGCCGCGGCGACAAGAGCATCGTCCCCCTCCTCACTCCTGCCGTCGGCGCTCAGCGCCAGCCGCAGACTTCCGCGGGCAGCAGCCAGGCGCTCTCGCTGGCCGTAATTGCAGCAGGCACGTCAGATGTTTGGTGGAGTGGCCTCCGGGGCGCGCCCATTGGGGACCCCGATCGCCGCGCGCGGTGCGGCAGCAGCGCCTTTTGCGCGCCCGTGTCGGGTCCCCCTCGCGCCCCCAAGACGCCGCGCACCCACGGCCACCCTTGCCCAGGGCCAGTCCCGCGTGCAGCCGACGGGGGAGTGACCGTTCCCCAGAGTGCTCGTGGCCACGTGGCTTGCCGCCGGCTGCCTGCGAAAGCGTGGCCCTGCGCCGGAGTTGCCCCTGGCTGGCGCGGTCCACAGAGGGGCCCTGCCAGCGCCGGCCTGCGCGCCTGGACTTGCCCCCCCCCCCCCCCGCCGCAGCCGCCAGGGGCCGCACACCGAGGGCTGCTCGAGAGGCCTACGCCACTCCGCCGACCCCCCAGAGAGTTATGAAGTCGACGGGTGAGGCCTCTCTGCTGGGGCCACTCGTCGAGGGAGCGCAGGCCGCCCCGACCCGGACGGGTGGAGTCTACGAAACGGCGATGGGCGTTCACTGAACCGCTCTGCGACTTCGCTCTTCGGGGTGCTTACTATGGGGGTGGACATTCTGCTCTCTATCCTGGGCACCCTGCGGGGACTGGCCTCCTCGGGCCTCTTGGCCTGAACTTGGCCCCCCTTGCGTCCCCCTGAAGCCGTGCACGGAGGCCTACTCATGTGCGCGCCGCCGATCTGGGGGTCGCCTGAGCGTCTTCTTTCGATGGATCGGGGGTGGACAGACCTCCCACCCTGACACGCCGATTAGCGAACTGGCCGTTATCGGTTCGCGAGAGGGCGTCGCGGCCGTCATCTTTGCGGGTCCAGGTCCGTCGGTTTCGGTCCCAGGCCGTTTTCACTAAGGGGAGGTTTACTAAAGGGAGGTTAGGTTTGTCCATCGCCGAATGGAGAGCGGAGGGTGGAGTCCAAAAAGCCGTCTGGCCCAGGAGATCGCCACCCATCCACTTCTTTGATCAGCTTCCAGTGGAGATTTTTGGGCTTCGGCCGCACCGCCGACCCCTTGGGGGGCTCCTGGCAGGTCTCTCGCGGGCCTCCTGGCAGCACTTTTGAGGCCTTTCGGGGGCCGTTTCGGAGCCTCTTGGGGCCTCTTTTGGTGGACCTCTTGGAGCCTCTTGGGGGCCTCTTGGGGCCTCCTAGAGGCTTCTTGGGGCCGAGGGCTCGAAATTTCCATTCGGGTCCCCCGCCTGGGCCCCCTCCTGGAGCCGTCTTGGGGGCCTCTTGGGCCGTCTTGGGGCCCTCTTGGGCCGTCTTGGAGCCTTCTTGGGGGCTTCATGGGCCGTCTTGGGGCGATCTTGGAGGCCTATTGGGCCGTCTTGTACGTTGTGAAAGCCCAAGAGGCGAATGTGCTAAAATCAGACGTTTCACGAAGGGAATGGGACGATTTGTGCTTCTTGGGGCCCTTTTGAGACGCCTCTTGGGGGCCTGTTGGGGCGTCTCGGGGGCCTCTTGGGGGCCGTCTGGGGGCCATCTTGGGCGTCTTGGAACGATCCATCGGCGACTCGGGGCCCTCTTGGACCATCTTGCCGGCCGGACGCCCCCCCTCCAAACCGACCGGACTGGGCCCTGGGGGGAGGGTTTGGGGAGGGGGAAGCGGGAAGCATCTCACACGCCGATGACCCCAAGGGGTTGGCGGATTTGCGTGCTTTTAGTCTTGCCCCCACCCCCGCGACTCGCGGGGGGCCAAGCCGCGACTCTCGGGGGGCCAAGCCGAAGCGCGCAAGTCGCCGCTACCCCAGACGTCCGACGACACGATGTTTTCGCAACGTGGCTCCCCAGAGATCTGAACCCCTTCCCAAGGACCGGTTCTTCATCCCGAGTCGTTTTTTGACGGTCATGGGGCCTTGCGAGGGCCCCCGGAGGCCGAAAGTTTATGTAACGTCCCGTCGTGACTTGTTCACGACGCGGGCATGTCTTGGACTGCCACGCGGCATGCAGCGATCGGCAGGCCGCTCGCCAGAGGCCAAGCTTCTGCCAGGGGCCGCGCTCGCGCGCCGCCGGCCCCGGCCCCCGGCAGGCGCCCTGGCGCTGAGCTCCGTGGAGCGGCTGGACCCGGTGTCTGGCATGTGGGAGGCGCCGCGCCCAGGGGGGGTGTTCGGCATCCCCCCAACATACTTATACTATGTGTTCGTCGCCCCCCCAGGGGCGACGCGCGCACCGAGAAATCTTGTAGTATATGCGTCGTGGCGGGCGCTTTCTGGCCACACCGCTCGAGAAACGATATACTACAAGATGGGTATACTATATGCTCGGGTCGGACGCGCGCCTCCAAGGAGGACATATAGTATTAGTATGTCCCTGTGCTTCCCAGGGGTCGCAAATCGAGGCTCGATCGCCACGAAGGGACGGGAGCCCTGATGGAAAGCCTGACCTCCTCCCGCTGCGAAAAGATCACGACGGAGGGTTTTTCTGCAGTCTTCGGCCGTCTGGGACCTTCGCTGGGCCCCGCGACCGCTTCAAAACGAGACAAGATCGCGATGCAGTCGAAGAAAAAGCAAGGGCATAGGCTGAAATGTTCGACGAGCCGCGCGGATTTCGCAGATCGGAGCTGGAGCCCCCTCCCTTGCGCGCGGAGCGCGCCAGGGGCGGCGCCAGAGGCGCCGCCGGGGGGGCTCCAGCAGAGCTCCGAAAGTGAATGTTTCCAGGCCGATTCCAGGCCGTTGTTTCCCCCCCTGAGCCAGGCCTCCCCAACACTCCCACTCAGATCGCCACGACGGGATGATCGAGGTTCGACCGCCACGAAGAGAAAGAGGTCCTGGGGGAGGCGCCGATCCAAGAACTCATGGGGGATGATCGAGGTTCGACCGCCACAAAGAGAAAGGGCTCCCAAGGGAAGCGCCGATCCAGGAATCTGGGCGGAGCTCAGAAAGTTTACAGTCAACCGGCGCAGTAAGGATGAGCAATTTTCCCCACAGCCGCCGTGATTTGCCCAAGACCATCCTTCTTTTTTTTTGTTGCTCTCTCTCTCTCTCTCTCCTATTTGTTTTCTCTCTCTCTCTCTCTCTTCCTCCCGCCAGGGGACCTTCAGAAGAGGGAAGAAGGATGAGGGAAGAGGGCCGTACCTTTTCACATTATCCCTATCGCACTCTCTCTCTCTCTCTATCTCTCTCTCTCTCTTGTTCTCTATCTCCCTCTCTCTCTCTCTTTCTCTCACCCCTGTGCCAGGGCTCAAACTCACGAGGCCGTGCTCTCGCGTTGGGAAGCGATTGAAGCATATTGAGCCATAAGGAAGGACAGTAGCAACAGTTCGAACAAAACAAATAAGCCCCGAAATGTGCTGACACTTCTGACAACACAGTAAGTGATTTCAGAACTTATGCTGGCCCACCCGAGGCTGCCCAGGATTCTTCGCCAGAGCTTTGA